AGAATTCTGTCAGTCAGGAGTATTTCCAAAAGTAGAGGAAAGGGCTGGGGAGATGGTTGAGTGGGTAAAGCGCTTGCTGTTCATGTATGATGAATGGAGTCTGGATCGCCAGCTGCATAGAAATGCCAGGCAGGCATGGCGGCCTGCCTTAAACCCAGTGCTCAGGAGCTAGAGAGAGGCCATCCTTGGAACAAGCTCTGTGAGAGACCCAGTCTCCATATATAGGTGGAAAACAATTAGGATGACACTGGACATCAACCTCTGGCCTCCATATGCACACACATCCACATACATGTACCCACACATGTGAACTCACACATGCACACATACTCACACACACACATACACACATGCTCTCACACACACACATACTCACACGCACATATAGAAAGCGGAGGTAAAACAAAGACTTTTATCAAACAGTTAGGACTGAAAGAAGTGGTGCCCGAAAGGAATGTTAAAGAAACTTCCCTGTTATTTTTAAACAACAGAGGATGAGAGGAGAGACATTTCTGTATAGAGGAATTGTAACTAATACCTGTAGGTAGAATTACAGAAATAGAGAATTACTATCAGAATACCAAAGTAAATAATTTCCGACCATATTCTCAAACCACTGTCAACCCAGATCCCACTTAACTAGCCCATAAAATAAGAGTGTTTCCCTCTGTATTTCAGAGAAGGTTAAAGGGAGTTTGAAAATAAGTGCCTGCTATTCCACAGTATGGCTATGAAGGTCAAAATACTAAAAATATGATGGAGTAAGCCTCAAGATCTTAAAATGCAGTGTGTGTGTGTGTGTGTGTGTGTGTGTGTGTGTGTGTGTGTGTGTGTGATTGTTTTCAAAGCACTGCACTATATCAAATGGTTTGATGAGGTCAGCTGATATTGAAATGGAAACTCTCTGGAATAGATACAAGGATTTGAGGGTGGGGGATTGGAGGTGGTAAACTAAGGTGATAGCATTGAACAACAGAAGAAGCACAGTAATTTAGTCATTCTCAACCTTCCTACTGCTGTGACCCTTTAATACAGTTTTGCGGCGACCCCAAGCCACAAAATTATTTTCGTTGCTACTACATAACTGTAATTTTGCTATCGTTATGAATAGTAATGTGAATATCTGTGTTTTCTGATGATCTTAGGGGACCCCTGAGAAAGGCCATTCCACACCCAAAGTGGTCTGGACCCACAGGTTGAGAACTGCTGATTTAAATGATCTAGCCAGCAATAGGTGCCAAGTGCCTCCTCTCCTGAGACACAAACCAGCAGCCCACTGCCCACACAGATTCATAGGATCCTGACGACTTCCCGGGCCATCACCTAATAGGATCCTTCCACCAGCTGGCAAAGAGAGCTGGCGTTCTTGGCATTTCCATAGAGAAGACCCTCAGTGCGGTAAGGGACTGCACTGAGGTTCCAAGCCTGGGGTTCTCACACAAAGAGCTGTTGTCCACACAATGGCCTGACCTCAGAAACAGTACTTTGTCGTTTGTATGCTGTTGTTCCAGATGTGGACACCAAGGGTATGGGTGGGATGTGAGATGATGTTAGGGGCTGTCAGGTGTGGAATTACCATAGAATCACAAGGTGGGGGTCCTTTCCTTCCCAACTCCCTTCTAGCCCATTTGACTTTATCACAGAACAAGCTTGTGTGCCTTACCACCTCCTGATACGTTTTCTGCTGTCGTTTCATGACAGACAGACAATAGGCAGGCTAATTAAAATGAATTCCTTCCCATCCTTCATGGAAGGAACTGTGGCCTTTCTCTGAGGCAAAAACAGCCTTTTTCCAAGCACTGCAAAGAGCAGTACTGTTCATCTAAGAATAGCATCCACAGTGCCGACATGTGACTTTTCCTCCATGTTTATTTTATATTTGTGTCCCCTGCCCTGTGTATGTGTGAGAATTAAAGGCAATGATACAGCTTTTAAAAAAATGTGAAATGACATTTTTTTTTTAATTTTTTTTTTGTGCATGTGTGTGTGTTAGTGTGGTGTGGAGGTCAGAGGAAAACTTGTAGTCAGACCCACCGTGTGGGTCTCAGGGATTGAACTCATGTTGTCAAGCTCGGCAGCAGGGTTCTACCCACTGAGCCATCTCATTGGCCTTTTGTTTTGTGACAGGGTCTCATGTAGCCAAAGATGGCCTGGAACTCTGGACCCTCTCACCTCAGCAGGCACTAACCCAGCCACCTACTCTCCATTTTTTTTTTTTTTTAAACAGAGAAAATCCTTCAGGCTTAGAGCCTTTACTAGGATACAGGTCTGGCTAGAACTTAATAACACAGTTTGCATTTTACTTTATTATCTCCCCCAGTTTCTGGATCTCCTATTTATAGCAACTGCTTACAGGCTTTTCATTTGGTATGACAGTCTCTTTTAAAAACAAAATGAATTAGAAGCTGAGTTGGTGAGAATGTTGAGGAGACGGAAGCATGGGGTTCTGCCACAACTCAGGCAAGCGACGTGGAATGAAGCTCACAAGAGACACAGGGGCTGCTGGCTTGCATTTCTGTGTCACAGAGAACCCTGGACCTTCTAGACAAAGCCTGAAAGCATCATCGGTGGGGAGACCCCGAACTTCTAACAGAATCCCTGGCCAGTTGCAATGCATTCTGGGAACAGCACTTTTCTCTTGGCCTACAGGCTTCTCTAGGGTGGCACAACTCCCTTGAGATCACAGGGTAACAGGCCTGAGGGGAGAGTCGAGAAAATCGTCAAGGAGAGTTGAAGGCATGCAGGGTGGGAACAAAGGTGACATGACAAGAGAAGATAACTGTAAAGAAAGCCATGGCTGTTATTACCTGGGAAAGGTATGTCTACAAGCTTGGTTCCTTACTATGTGCGTACCTGGAACTCTATCAGGAGCCTCTCCGACTCTGGCTTCCATGATTACTGTCTATTATGTCCCATTGACCAGTTCATGCCTATGAGTAACTGTAAGAGGCTTTATTAAATGAGAGCTCCTAATTTTTCAAGTTGTTTTACTCCTCCCTCCCTCCCTCCTCTTCTTCTCCCATACACTTTTCTCCTAACCCTGATTCTCCAATGTTCTCAGAAGGGAACCCTCAGCCCAGAGAAAAACAGCTCACTCTTTGAGTCTTGGAGGGGATTTTTAGGAAGCCCAAGTTCAATTTTCTAAAATTTTATCTGACTTGGTCACAGTGGCTCACTCCTGTAATGCCGGTGTCTGAGAGGCTGAGACTGGAAGATCATGAGTTCAAGGCCAGCCAGGGCCACATATCAAGAACCTGTCTCAACAAATAAACAAACACAGCTGAAAGTTTATACCAGTGCTGGACCCCCGCTTACAGGTGACAGAACAACCGTGTAAGCACCCTCTTTTGAAGATGACCCTCTTGGGAATATGAGCCTTATGACAATGGGCCTCCTGGCACACTGCCATGGTCTCTAGAGACCAACAGAGAGAAGCAAGGACCTGCTCTGTGCTCCATCTTGTACCAGGAATATGGACACCGATAGACTGCTAAGAAGCAGCACCCAGCTGCTGGTGGCACAGAGCTTGCTTTCTGGTGACAGTACCTACCAAGATCTGGTAGCAGCTCTGGACATCCCTGCCTACAGAGAGGCCGGGAAAACAGTTCAAAGCTGGTGGAAGAGGGGCCAAGAGACCCACATTCATCCCCAGGAGACCTGAGTCCTCCTCCCAACTGCATCCAGCCAGGCCTGAGACTCAGATGAGGAGCTGTTCCCTGGGTTACCTACTGCCTCCTTTGTGAAAGGCAAGGGGGTGGGCTGAGATGATGTCAAGGGGTCCTCTGAGCTCCCAGGCTCTGCTCTGCCCTTCCCTCCAATGTTTGGTCTTCAGCTGTCTTCTTTACTGGTCCAACTAATCACTTCTGAAAGTGCTGTGTGTACCACTCTAGTCTTGTAAACAATGACTCGCCAAGGGCCTTACAGATTCTCTCTTGAATTTATGGAGGCCAGAAACCTCCGTTCTCAGGAGGGATGCTCTCAAAGCCTGGGGAGTTCACATCGCTAGCCTTGGTCCAGTCCCAGAAGCCAGCCCTGCAATGGATGAGACAAGAAAGCCACACTTCATTATGTGACCTAGAATGTTACTGCTCTGGCCCAGACTCCAAGATGAAGTCTATATTTCCAGCTTCCTTTTCACTGTCCAGAATAATTACCCGTGGCCTCTTAGTTAACAAAATGAGAATTTATTAAATTTTCAGTTCTAATAAATAGTCAGTGGCCTCTCCAACAGGCTCCAAGCCCTGTTAAAATGACATAGTCTGTGTAACCATCAGAGAGAACACATTAGGTTGTGGGCTTTAGTTACAAAGGAAGTTGCTCTCCTCCCTTGACTCACTGCCATCACCCTGCTGTAGCTTAAAGGCTTGAAGATGAATTAATTTTCTTATCACATAAGATCCCAAAGATCCATTAGCCAAACAGGAAACAAAACAAACAAAAGAAAACAATAAACAAAAGACTCCCAAGCCAAGAAGCAGGTATAAAGAATAGATTAGATGTTTCTCCCCATCTATGGAACCAATCACACACAAATGTGTGTGGAAGGAAGCCCAGTAAAAAGAAGGCCCAGGCACATTCTGGAATGTTCATTGTCTTTTCTTGAGGGGTTGGGTGAAGTGGTGAATACAGCCGCTCACAGTTTCAGGCTAGAATTAGGCTCTTCAGGGCTTTCCTTCTCAAGTGATGGCCCATCGGGGGGAATCAAAGCTGGAGGGAAACCCATCTTCCTCAGACAATTAAAACTCTTGGGGACGGTGAGGACCTCAGCTATTCCAAATACGAAACTTGGAATTCAAGAGTAAAATAAGAGGCAGGCAAGGAGGCTCCAGTCCCAAACCTTGAGAGGTTACTGTTGCCTGAGGCCAAGGTCAGGTTTCAAAAGCTGGACTTGGGAAGCGAATTGCAACAGCCAGGGACTCAGCTGGGCTCACTGGGGGCAGGACAGTGTCTTATCCTCCACTTGCCCCTGGGTCTCCTCTTCTAGCAGCTACATCTGGTCCCTACCTGTCTCCACTGGTCTCTGCCAACCTGTTATTCATTACCGCAAAGGCCCCCACCCCCCCTGAGAACTCATCATCCTTGGAGGACGTATTGGGCTGGTGGGGCCCACCATTGGCCATCTCGGACAACTGCTTCTGCAGGATGGCCAGTGAGACCTTGTTGGTGTCCTTCATGGAGATCATCTCCCCTGAGAGACGTCGCCCATCAGTGTCACTTTCCATCACCCCATCCGTCTCTATGGAGATGTTGCACCTGTTCCTGATGTTGCCGGGCATCACCACATTTCTCCTGGACCGCAGGAGTCCTCTTTGGCATTGTGGGAAGCACCCGCTATCCAGTTTCCTCAGGATCCAGTTCACAGTCTGTTTGATGAGGATGGAGATGACGTTAAACAAGGAGTAGATACAGCAGACACCCATGAGGATGAGGAAGAAGTTGGCAAAGCGGTAGAGTCCTTGGCTCTCATACTGAGCATTCTGGCTGCTGACCAGGTCCCCAAAGCCAATGGTACTGAAAGCCACGAAACAAAAGTAGAGTGAGTCAAAGTAGCTCCAGCCTTCCATGGTGGCATACAGAGCCGAGGCTCCACAAGAGATGGCCACTGATGCCAAGCATAGGATCAGCATGACGTAGTATACAGAGGGCTTCCAGCCGGCCAGGCTATCCACCTCACCCTTTTCAGGGGCCTTCATGATGTCCTGGGCCACTGCCCCACGTCTCCTCAGCTGCTGCTGGTGACAGGATCTCATCACATAGGCGATGACCGTGATCAGCCGCTCCAGGAAGAGGTTGAAGAAGAGGATGGTGCTTGCACATCCAATGAGACCGTAGAAGATCAGAAAGATCTTCCCTCCTATTGTGGCTGGGGTTGTCATCCCAAACCCTGATGAAGACAAAAAGCAGAGGAGAAAAGAGTGAGCAAGAGCTTGCTTGAGAGCGGGGTTGGTGGGTGGGCTTGGAGGCTGGTGAAGGATTGGAAGAAACAGTATTATAAAATCCCTGAGCCCTTGCCTTTCTAGGAAAGCAGAGAAACCCCATCTCCATTGGAAGGCTGTTGTTCAGCACACGGGGTTGGCTTGCTGCAAGCCCATATGGTGCTCCTATGCAGGGCAGGAAAAGGCTCCTCTTCCTTTGAGTGCATCCAACCATCTTAGTGATGAGGATGTGACTAGGTTTCAGTCTCCTTTGCTCCTTTTGCTGGATGTCCCTTGTACACTATGGAATGTCAACAGCCATAATCAACAGACCGTGCTTAGAGATGTAAAGACTCCTACAAAAATAAAGGCTTATGCAGACTTGTAAGAATTTACTCATTCCACAAACACAGAGCTGGGGATAAAACCAGAGCTCCTGTCTCCCCGGATCTCTGGTTCTGCAAGACGACTGGTATAGTGTGTGTAAAGTACTGGGCTTGGAAGTGGTACAGGGCTCTGTGGCAGCTGTTGAGAGGGGCACCCACCTAAGACTTGGGGTTCTGCGGAGATTACACAGAGGGTCCTCGAAAGCAAGGAGGTATTGTACAGGCAGATGGTACACGCAAGTAGTAATGGCGGTCCCATTCCTTCCTTCTCGTTTGTATGTGCACGTATGTGGTAAGTGTGTGTGTGTGTGTGTGTGTGTGTGTGTGTGTATGTGTGTGCATGGGGACCAGAAGTTGATGTTGGGTATCTTCCTCAACTGCATTCCATTTTTTTTTAGATTTTATTTATTTATTTATTTATTTATCTATCTATTTATTTATTTATTATGTATACAACATTCTGCTTCCATGTATATCTACACACCAGAAGAGGGCACCAGCTCTTATAATGGATGGTTGTGAGCCACCATGTGGTTGCTGGGAATTGAACTCAGGACCTCTGGAAGAGCAGTCAATGCTCTTAACCTCTGAGCCATCTCTCCAGCCCAACTGCATTCTGTTTTTAAGGCAGGGAATTTTCACTGAAACTGGGCCTCACTGGGCCTCACTGATTCCTGCCAGTTTGGCTAGTCAGCTTGCCCTGGGGATGCCCAGTCTCTGCCTCCTGCATGCTGGGATCACAGGCAGTTGCCATGCCCACCCAGCTTTTTCATAAATTCTGAGGATCTGAACTATGGTCCTCACAATTTCCCCTCCATTTTCAAGTTCAGCTTTCTCATTGTGTCCTGTTACTGGGATCCCAAGCCTCAGTCATCATCCTTTCCTGTAACCACCGCCCCCCAAGTCAGTCTCTTTTCTTGTTGCTATGGGTCAACCAGTGGCTGCCTGTTCTAGGTTCCCTGGGAAATAGTCAGATCAGATTTTGGTATGTGTGGGTTTCAGGAGTTATGATTTCATGGTGTCCCGAGATGAAGTCAAGGGACCCACCTCTCCCAGGAGCCTGACCTGTGCATTCAATTATCCAACTAAAGCCATGGTTCTCAGCACTCATGGTTCTCAGCTGTGTCTAGTTGGGAAGCTAAGGGCCTCAAACCAAGATAATGAAGGAAGATGCTGAATTCTGCTTCTAGCAAAATAGAATAGAGAGGAACAGATGGGATACTGGGTAAGGGAGGAGCAAAGGGCAGAGAACAATGGAATGGGGATTTTGAGGGCTAGGGCCCTTACTGGTGGGGAAAAAAAGAATCAGAATATCACATCTCTTGCTTTAAAAATCCGAGTGCTCTCAGCCACTTTGCTGTGGAGGATCTGACATACCTCCATTATGTATAGAAATGTGCTGTTCTCTCTCTGGTTAGGATATTAATTCTTAACCAAGCTCAGATGAGGTGGTTAGAGTTGTAGAGACTTGAGTTTGATGAGTGAAGTGCATTGAGTTGAACAAGTAGGCTTCAAACAACATCATGTTCTATTCAGTCCAAAAGAACGCTACTCAGTCACCAGTGTGTCAGGCAATTAGTTCCCATTATTGGAGGAACTTGGAGCTACTCTGATGGACTCGGTGGATTCTCTGAACCAGGAGAGCTTGTGATTGCTCCCTGGAGAAGACAGAAAGCAGATGACTGAGCCAATGCACTGTGCGTTTGGGCCCCTGCTGTGATAGGAGTGGTTTTACCGACCCAAATTCCCATGCCTATCTTCACCCACAAAGTGATGGTTTTAGAAGATGAACCTCTGGGAGGTGATTAGCTTATGTGGGTGAGACATTTATGGATGGCATCTGTGTCATTGTAAATGATACCTTGGGAGTTGGGATTTGATTCAGTTGGTAGAATGCTTGCCTGATAAGCTGGATGTGGCAACAGGTGCTCAGCATATGGAAGATGGAGCCAGGAGGACCAAAAATTCAAGGTTAACTTAGACCACACAGTGAGTTCAAAGGCAGTCTGGTCTCAACAACAGCAACTACAACAAAAGGCACCCCGGAGAATGTCACCTTTTCTGCCATGAGAGACCACAGCAAGGAATCCATGAGAGTCTTGACCTTGAATTTCCTGAACTGTGAGCAATATATTTCTTTGTTTATAAGCCAGCCTGGGGCATTTGTTACATACAGCATCCAGAAGGAATTAAGACAGTCATCCAAGATGACCCAGACAGCTCCTTGTGAGAATTTCTTCCCTGAAGAGCTGTAAACAATATCTACTCCTTGCTTACAAGGTCCCAATGACAAATCAAAATATAACAATAGGCTTATAAGGTCCCAACGACAAACCAGAGTATGATTCCACTGAACTTCACCCCAGGGAGCCAGGGAGTTTACTGGGCTTACTTATAGCACACAGGGTGAGAGGTTGGTTACATGAGCATGAGTGACTACCCCAGTGGAAAATCTTTGCCCAGCATGGGTGATACCTCCCTAGAGCCAGATCGATGGATTCCTCGGTTAATCTCCAGCCTAGATACTGGAGCACCTCCTGAGACTCCAAGGCCATAGGCAACTAGGGCAGAGTTGCATACAAGTAGCTGGGAGGAAGTGGTAGCTTCTCAGGCATGGTTTACTGACCCTCTCCAACCTCCTCTTCTCTCCAATCACCTTCCATGTGATGAGGGTCTCTCATAAGCAGGCACAGTTGCTGTAGGGAAAATGCTGACCTTTGACCTCCGAAAACCCACATCGAGGCTAGGACAAATGAACTATTTACAAGAGAAGCCACAATGAGTCAAGGGGTAAATGCAAGCATAGATTTCTCTCACCACAGGGGTCTGATGAAACCTTACTCTGGGTAGCATGATCCAGGTACCTACAGTGATGACACTGAGAAGCTTGAGGAATTGACTCCCCCCCCCCCCCATGAACAAGGCCTTTAGTGATTTGGTGACATGTTCCCACGATTGAAAGTTTCTGGATTCCATCTGTTGACTTGGTTTTATAGGATTTCTTAAATAAAGAAGAAATCATTTTGACTTTTGATCACCTGCTGGGCTTACTGGATCACAGCCATCTCTTCAATCAGCCAAACTAACAGAAAATGGTAAGAGCGGAGGCGTCATGGACAGCAGAGCACTGATAGCTTGGAAATGGCACAGTAGGTAAAATGCAGGACCTGAGCTCAACGCCAGAACCCATATATTAAAAAGCCAGGTGTAGTATGTGACTGTAATTCCAGCACCAGCGAGGTGGACACAGGTGGATCCCTGAGGCACCCTTGCCAAGCCAGCTAGCCTACTTGGTGATTTTCAGGTCAATTAGAGACCAATGGTGGATAGCCCTGAGGAACAACACCTAATATTGGTGTGAGTGTGTGTATGTGTGTATGACATACTGGGAAAGATGTGATCATTATACTCTTGAACTCTTAGCAGCCTTGATTCTCAGTGCAAGACCTGCACAAGACTAGGCCCATTAACATTCTGTCATGGAGTGGGGAAAGCTCATGAGGTCCCACTCATGAGTTAATTGAGGCAGATGGTCTCATTCCCTAGGCTTGGATCTGGACTGTATAAAATGGGGAAAGTGAGCTGAACCATTCATCGCTCTCTGATTCCTGATTGTGACCTGCTCCTGTCCTTCCAGCCTGTTGGACTTCCCTGCCATGATGGACTGTCCTCTTGACTGTAAGCTGAAATGAAGTCTTTCCCTTTTGGGTTGCTTTTGCCAGGGGATATTTATCACAGTAGTAGCAACAACAACCACAAAAGAAACCAAGACTATGTACTCATATCTATCTATCTATCTATCTATCTATCTATCTATCTATCTATCTATCCATCCATCCATCTATCTAATATTACTACTGTGAATTGGTTACAAAGCTTTGCTAGGCAAGCTTTCTATCAAGGAACAATATCTCAAGACCCTTTGCTGGAGTATTATAGAGCAAATACTATCCAGAACTCTAATTCACTCATTAACAAAGAACATCTCTGACTTCCAAGGACTCCATTCATAACCACTGTCCTATTACTGCACCTAATAAAGTCTCTCCTAATTCCTAAACATCAAATAAGCTGGTCTGTATACAGCTCTCTGAAATGTCTCTCTACAGATCACTGTATGAACTGGGTCTCACACAGCACAAACAACTCTTCCGTCTCTTTTAATAGTTAACTGTCACCCTCCACCATCATTTCCTAGGTAAATGTTTCCTAAAGAGAAATTTTCTAGAAACAAAGGAGAAAAAGCCTCTGTGTATTCTGAGAAGGCCCACTTTTGGCCACTCATACATTCTTCAAAGGCACAGAGAAATTGACAAAATTGTCCGGAAGCAAATTGGGACCAGTTGTCACAGGTCCATAATGACATCAATTAACTATAACCCCCAAATATCAGACTGAGGCCCCCAAATGCCACCATGTTATGGTTTTTGCATCTGAAATCCCTCAAAGGCCATGCGTCAGCACTTTGGCTGTTGTCCTCTGGTACTGGGTGGTGGTGGAAACACTAAGGGCTAAGGGGGCCTGGTCCTGGGACTCTTCTCTCTCCCTCACCTCCTTCCCTCAGCTTCATACTCTCTCCTCTG